ATAAATTGTAGGGGAAAAAAGAAAATCATGCCAGAGTGACCTAAGCAGACAGGAGTAACTCTCACTATTGAAAGGGAGTTGGTAGCAACATGCTGGCTTGTAACTCTCTTCTAAATCACTTCTAGATTTCAGATTTCCAGGAAGACATTCTGTCCTACAGCTGCAGAATCCTGACACTTGTAAAATATTTAAAAGAGAAAAAAATATGGGGGTAAGTCGCTCCACCTGAAAAAGTTGTCTTGTAAACTATAGCCCACACTTAGGGAAATACAGCCAGAAGGACCAGTCCCTTTTGAACAGTTCCACACAGACAGATTGTGAGTTGAGGTTAGGCAGGAGTCAGCGGCAAAAAACATAAGTAGTGACTCAGAAGGTACTCCTCAGTTGCAGAAGAGGGGAACCCTAAAATAGAAAATGGGAGGAGGACTTCCCTGTAATGAGAAAAAAAGCTGGAACTCTAAAGCCATTTGTGGGAAATTTTTATTGTGTAAAGCTTCAGCTTTATCGTTTCTTGTTAATCAGAAAAGCTAAGGGGAGTTTTGTTTCTAATGAATACATCTAAAGTACGATGCGTATCTGGTAGTATTAGTGTTTGTGGAAGGGGAGGCGAGGGCATGAAAGGCTGAGGCCCTCATGAGCTTTAAAGACAGGTGGGACAGGGGCCCAGGAACACCAATTTCCCATCCAAAAGCAAGACTCAAAAAGTGTGAAGCGAAACAGTAGTAATCCTGATGGAATATTTTACATAGGAAATTGAAGAAAGGCACAGGTAAATCACCCTACATTGGTTTTCCTTTATTTTAAAGCTTTGAAATACTCCAGTGCTTTCTCACTTGATTGTTTCATGATTAACATGGAAAGGGTTTTTTTTCCTGATTTTCTAGATGTTCCAGAAACCCTTAGGGTTGACAATACCCCACAGATACTGCAAATTTCATTTCAATACTTTGCGTGGCTGTGAGCGAGCACAGTGCAAGTTTGTCCATGTGCCTGAGCAAGGGGATGAAAAGGTAAAACTCTGCCTAAGGTAGAGATTGCCTTCCTATCTGCCATGCATTTTCATGTTGTCATAGTCCTCTGATAGTATAGTGGTTTGATACTTTATACAAATGGTATATTTATGTGTATACGTATTCTTTTGTATCTGGCTTCATTTTTATTTTTATTATAACCTTTTGGAGGGGGAGGGACAGGGTTTCATGTGTATATCCCTGACTGACCTAGAATTCACTGTGTAGACCAAACTAGCATTGAACTCAGAGATCTGCCTACCTCTACCTCCCAAGTACTGAACTTAAAGGCATGTGCCACAATACACCCAGCCATTTTTAAAAAATCGTAATAGATTCTTGCTGTGTTTCCTAAACTGGTCTCAAACTCTGGGCTCAAAGCAAACCTCCTGCCTCATCCCATCTAGGTCAAACTACAGGTGCATCCTTGCCCAGCTTGCCCATATAATAGTTCATGTTCTATTGCACAAGTTTATCAAATTAACTTTGAGTGAATATTACTGTTGATTTCCATATTTTAATAATATAGTAATGATACCATCAGTATTCTTTTGTGTCTCCTGGTGAACAAGTGTGCAAAGTTCTCATAGGTCATACTTAAAACTGGAATTGCTGGGCCTTCATATGTTTAGTCTTAGTAGATACATGAAGCAGGTTCTGAAGTAGTGGTTTCAAGTTATACTCACAGCAGTGTCTGAGAGTTCTGGCTGTATTCCATCCTTATCAGCTCTTGCTGTCATCACACTCATGACCAGCCATTCAGGTGATGGCATACACCAAAATCTTAGCACTTGGGGGTGGATGCAAGAGGCTCAATCCAGTAGCATTTCAAACCTGTGAGTCAAGTGAACATCAGCTTCTTTAGACTAATATGTAAGCTCATTTTTAAGTTTTGAAATAAGTAAAAAGGTAGGATTGAAATTTTTGTAAAGCTTGTAAAATATATAAAGATAATTAAATATTCCTTAAAAGATTTTAGAGTTACCTCTTCAGAGGGGGGAATGTTAGAGTAGGAAAAAGCCCCATTTTAAAAGAAAAGAAGAAAGAGTACATAGAGTACATGAAATTATAAGAAAAAAGTGATGGGGAGATATGGGAAGAGTTTGAGGGGAGGGAGTGAGCATGGATTTGATCAGAACACCTTATTTATGCATGTATGAATTCTCAATTATTTTTTAAGATAAATATTTTATGACTTTTGTAGGTCTGCATGGATGTGTTTAAGAAGTACATAAGTGTCAATGAATTGTGTTTGCTGCAGCGAGCAGGTATGAAATAACTGAATGATAATTACAAATTCCTGAGTTTTCACACATGTGCTGTTGTGTCATAGAGTGTTAAAATTGGGCTGGCAAGATGGCTCAATGGATAAAGGTGCCAGATTCCATGTAAAGGTGGAAGGAGAGAACCAATTCCACAAAGTTGCCCTCTGACCTCCACAGTCCATGCCCACATACATGTCATGCACATACAATAATAATAATTTTGTAATTTAAAAAAGTTAAAATTTATTTTGAAACTATTAAAACTGAGTATTACCTAAAACTGGCTCCCTTATCCTTAGAAATGATGATGAATAAATATGATATTTGGTTAATTTAAAAATTATCCAGCCAGGCATGGTGGTGCATGCCTTTAATCCTAGCACTTGGGAGGCAGAAGCAGGCAGATCTCTGTGAGTTCAAGGCCAGCCTGGTCTACATAGTGAGTTCTAGGCCAGCTGGGGCTATAGGGAGACCCTGTCTGAAAAACATTTTAAAAAAATTATCCAGCGAACACTGTAACTCCCTTATATTCTAATATTTTCTTAACTTAGAAACTTCATTTACATGTGTCAGAGAGAAAAGGGTAATGCTAATCAGCTGATGTGTCTGAAAGGACCTTCAGAACCTGAGTCTTCCAGCTTTGCCCTTTTCTTTTCATACTTCTTCTCATTGCTAGAGCAACAGCCTAGCATATCTTGTGTGTGTCCCTCAACCTGCCAGGCTCTGCTGTCTGCCCTGGGGCTCTCCAACTGGAAATCCCATTCCCCATGGCAGAGAGCAGGATAGCTTTCACAGCTTGGTCCTTGCAGCTAAGATTGCTTCTCTATTAGTCCTTGTCTGAGTTCACAGCCCCTCCCCTCCCTTGCATCCATCTCCACGTAGTAGATTATGAGCCCCAAAGGATAAGAACCAAGATTTATTGTTTGCTCCCTGACAGAGCCACTAAAGCCACATGGTGTGGTCATAACAGAATGCTACAGCTCCACAGCCATCAGCTTATAATTTCATTTAGCTAAAAACAGGAGGCATCCAAGGGAACTTATCTATATTAAAAAATAGGTAAGGCAGAGGTAGGAGGACTGTGTGTGGAAAATTACTTGCAACCTGAGGGGCTGTGACCACCAAGGAGAAGCTAGACATGGTAAAATGTGGGTTTCAGGAATAACCCCTTTAATGTGAAGAAGAGAGAGACTTGAATGGGAATGAGGCAGAACTCCCCAGACTATAAAGCTGTGCCAGGATCTAGCTGGACACAGAGGAACATATCTGAATTTAGTTTGTGTGTGTGTGTGTGTGTGTGTGTGTGTGTGTGTGTGTGTGTGTGTGTGTGGTGCACATACACACATAAAAATAAAAATAATAAGTCTCAAAAAATAATAATGGTAGGCTTGTGGAGCAACTTTTTTAATACAGTATACAGGAGCTACACAATCACTGCTGCTCGTCTCTTATTCAACGGGACTAGTGGTTCAGGTTTGGGGGTTTTGTTTTATTGTTTTTGTTTGTTGTTGGGAGTTTTTGTTGTTGTTTTAGGTTTTTTACTGGTGTTGGGGGTTGAGACCAGGGCCTATTGCATGCTAAGCAAACAGTCTACCACTGAGCTATATTCCCAGCCTGTCTGTTTTGTTTGTTTTGTTTTTGAGATAGTGTCTTACTTTATGGCCCTGGCTGGCCTTACTCTCAGCAATCCTTATACCTCAGCCTCCCAAGTGCTCAGATTAGAAGTATGAGCACTACATCTAGCTCTGAATTTACTTTTAAAGCAGTAAATACAGAAAACAAAAATAGGAGCCTAGAGCAAAGAATAAATGTAGATGTCAAGAAAACTGTAGAACTTGTTTGGTATAAAAATAGTAACTGAGCTGGGCATGGTGGCGCATGCCTTTAATCCCAGCACTCGGGAGGCAGAGGCAGGTGGATCTCTGTGAGTTCAAGGCCAGCCTGGTCCACATAGTGAGTTCCAGGACAGCTGAGGCTACAAGGAGACCCTGTCTCAAAAAGACCAAAAAAATTAAAAATAAAAATAAATAAAAATAGTAACTAAGATCGGTGGACTAGAATGCATACCTCAAAATAGACCTGGCAATATAGATAAAGAAAGGATTTGAAAAGATTTGTAGAATGAATAATGTTAGGATAAACAGGTAGCAACCTAGAAAGAAAAATAAATGCTACCCATGTAAGGTTGGCACACAAAGGAATAACTGAGAAGCAGGACTCCCCATTTAACTGTATGTCTTTCTGTTTTATATTTGAATTGCCATGTAAAACTCTTTCCAAGGGGTTTACTTATTTAACTTAAAACTTTTAAATTACATCTTACTTATTTGGGAGACGGCATATGCGAATTCTGTGGATACCAGGCATGCATGTGGTACGCTTCTTATATGCAGGCAAACATTCATATTCATAAAGTAAAAATAAATCTTTTTAAAATAATAAACAAATGATTGTGTGACTCTGCTATTGCATTTTCCTTTTTTGTTTGTTTGGTTGGTTTTGGTTTTGGTTTTGGGTGTTTTTGGTTTTGGTTTTCTTTTATTTAGTTTGAGACAGGGTCTCCCTGTAGCACCAGCTGACCTAGAACTCTGTGTAGTCCTTTATCTCACAGAGATCTGCCTGCCTCTGCCTCCTGAGTACTGGGATGGATTAAAAGCGTGTATTACCATGCCCAGCCTCATTTTTTCTTTTTTTAAATTACATATTTATTTAATTTTTTATTTATTTTTATTTTATGTGTATGAGTGTTTTGCCTGCTTATATATACCTATGTTGTGCAATGCTTGCAGAGGTCATGCATCAGTGCCCTGGAACTAGAGTTATGAATGGTCATTAGCTGCCATGTGGGTTCTAGGAATTGAACCCCAGTCCTCTACAAGAGCAGTCAGTGTTCTTATCCACTGAACCAAATCTCCAGCCTCCCATTTCTACATCTTCCATGTCAGTCAACTTAACATTGGTATGATAGTTTTGACTAATGTTCAGATTTTGTGAGGTGAGACATTAATGTCCTTTACAGTGTTTTCTTCCCATCTAGGATCTAGTTCAGGATCAGATATTCATGTTATTCTCTTTAGCCTCTGGAACATTTCAGTCTTTTTTAATATATTTTATTTATTATTTTTATTTTATGTGTATGAGTGTATTGCCTGCATGTATGTGAGTGCACCTGTGTTGTGCAATCCAGCGGAGGTCAGAAGAGGGCTTCAGATTCCCCTGGAACTAGGGTTAAGGACGGTTCGTAGCCTCCATGTGGGTGCTGGGAATCGAACCAGGGTCCTCTACAAGAGCAGTCAGTGCTCTTAACCGCTGAGCCATCTCTTCAGCCCCCCGTTTCAGTCTTATAAAATATACACAACATGCAATTTTAAAGAATTTTAAGTATATTACTTACTGATATTAAGTATATTCTGTGTTGTCTAACCATTAGCACTATTCATTTCCAGAACATTTCATCATTCCAAATGAATTCCACTCATTAACTAGTAACACCCCCACTGCCTCCATCACTAACCCCTGATGCCCTGATTACCTGCTCTGTCTCTGTGAATTTGCTTATTCTAAGTACTTCATGTAAGTGAAGTCACGCAGTATTTGTCCTTTTATGACTGGCTTGTTTTACTTATAATGTCTTTAAAGTTCACCTATGCTATGGCATATGTCAGAATTTCCTCCCTTTTTAGGCTGAATAGTGTTTCAGTATATGTGTGTCCCACATTTGTCCATGTACCCATTGGAAACTTGAATTGTTTCTACCTTTGACTATGCAATTAAAGTTGTTATAAACCTTGACATACAAGCATCTGTTTAAATCCCTGCTCGAAGTTCTTTCTGTATGTTCATAGCTCTTTTGTATCTTTTATATTTGAATTTTCATGTAAAATTTTTCCCAGTTTTATGCCTAAAAACAGCTCTTTTAAAAATGACTACTCTTGCTGGGCATGGTGGCACACACCTTTGAGCCCAGCACTTGGGAAGCATAGACAGATACCTTTGAGTTTGACCAATCTGGTCTACATAGCAAGTTACAGGTCAGCTAGGGCTACAGGAAGACCCTGTCTCAAACAAACAAGCAAAAAATAACTACTATTTATTGTAAACCAAAATAAATAAATATAATAGCAAGTTAGAAGAAAAATTAAGATTTTTGATCCTGTTTTTTGAAAGATGGCAATTTCTCTGATTTAAAATAATCAAAGGAGTAGTCAAAAGATACAAATGTGATCACATAAATTTGAACTGAAAAGGCTGTTAGAATATTTTAGATTTATTATTGATAATAAAGCATATTCTACTTCATAATACTGACAAGAGTCAGCTCTTGTCAGCTGTTTAAAAGCCAGGCGTGGTGGCGCACACCTTTAATCCCAGCACTCGGGAGGCAGAGGCAGGCAGATGTCTGTGAGTTCCAGGCCAGCCTGGCCTACATAGTGAGTTCCAGGCCAGCTGGGGCTACAGGGAGACCATGTCTCAAAAAGAAAAAGACCAAAAAAAAAAAGAAAAAGATGTAGTGCTTCTTCCTGTGAGAATTAGAACCAGATAGAGAAAGGGAAATCCAGTGGTCACTGGTAAACCAGACTCATGCCATCCTAATCAAAGAAAGGAGTAGAAGCAGCACCTAATCCATCAGGTCATCAGTCAAGTAGCATCACAACCTATCAAAAGCTGCTACACTTCCAAATCTTTCCCACTAAACCCAAAGAAGAATTTTTTTTATTACTTTTTTTTAAAAAAACTCTGTGTGTGTGTGTGTGTGTGTGTGTGTGTGTGTGTGTGTGTGTGTACATACACACGAGCATTCAGGAGCCACAGTGCACATGTGGAGGCCAGAGGACAACTTGTAGGGAGTCAGTTATCTCCTTGTAAGACATGGATCCCAGGGATCAAACTCAGGTCTTCAGGCTTGGCAGCAAGTCTCTTTAGCCACTGAGCCATCCCATTTTGCCCCAGGAGGATTATCTTGAAAGGAATTATATTAACATTTCAAATAACTTAATTACAGAAGAAGGTTATATTGTTAGCGGATGATTTACATACACTAACCAATTCTCCCCAACTACTCTTTTTAAGCATCAGCAGTCCCAGCTTTATTAATGAATTATACAGTAGTAGATACATGTTACCAGTTTTCTTTTACACAGGCAACTTTGTAAATATAAAACAGAATGGCTGCAAGAATTTATCTATAGCTGGGCTTGACAGTGCAACCCCAACACTCAGGAAGCTGAAACAGGAGGATTGCTGTGAGTTCTAGCCCACCCTGGGCTACAGAGTAAAACTTGTCCCAAAAAACAAAAAAAGAGGGGTGCTGGTTCAACAGTTAAGAGCATTTACTGCTCTTCCAGAGGATCCAGGTTCAGTTCCCAGTACCCACATGGCAGCTAACAACTGTCTATATATCCAGTTCCAGGGATCCGCTGCTTTCTTCTGGCCTCTGCAGGTTTTCACACATAGTACACTTACATGCAGGTAAAACAATTCATTCATACACATAAAATAAAAGTAAATAAATAAAAGGGGTGGTATATATGCACATATATACATACACACAAAATAAATGTAATAAAATTTTTTTAAAAAACACTTATCCCTTTGTACCCAGAGAAAACAAGTGTAGTATGTAAAACAGCTTTATACGAAAGTTAACCATTGTTACAATATAATATTAAGCTTATAAAAATTATTGTAATTTTAACATTAATTATTCAGTTCTGCTGATCTTTATCATTATGTGCAACTTTTCCAAGCAATATTAGGTAATCCAAATAATAAGTATTTGTGGTGGAAATAACACAAAACTAAAACCCAAAGCAGTTTTTGCTAAGGTAGTTTTAACCAAGATGTACAGATTTTGAACTAGGAAATTTGGGAATGGGAAAAAATGATAGGTGAATTGATTTTAGTAAATTTTAGTAAAATTAATGTAGAAAAATTGGAAACCTAAGAGTTGTGTAGAGGCCGGGTGTGGTGGCACACGCCTTTAATCCCAGCACTCGGGAGGCAGAGGCAGGTGTATCTCTGTGAGTTCAAGGCCAGCCTGGTCTACATAGTAAGTTCCAGGACAGCTGGGGCTACAGGGAGACCCTGTCTCAAAAAGACCAAAGAAAAAAGAGTTGTGTAGAAAATAGATGAAGGAATTGGATGGACATAAACTATTTTCTTTATTTTCTTAAAGGAAATTGGACATTTCCAATTCTGTAATAATAAACTAAAATAAAAAACATTCTTAGGGTCAATATGTTGGTGAAGTTAAAGCAGTAAGTAGTGTGAATCAAAATAGTCTCCACCTATCACCACTTTAGAATTTCCTGTGCATATCCAGGTCATGTGCAAGCTTCAGATCTCCTGGAAGTGTGCCTCTAAGGAGCTCATGTTAAGAGTGAGAGTTTTTACTTTTTTGTGGGTAGTACACGAGTTAACACCCAATCTAATGTTGACCACACTTGTTTGACTTCTGATGTTATCATCATTTTGATTTTTTGCTTTCATTGTCATCAAATGTTTCAGACATTTCTGGTAACTTTCAAGAAAATGAATTTATTCAATATCTACAGAAAATTCATCTAATTTAGGCAATATGGCTATCTTAAAAGCAATAAATGACTTTTTTTTTTCACTTTCAGCAAACATGTTTATGGAATACTACAGAAAGTTTCCCCCAGGGATACACTTTGATCTACAAGTGCTAAATGACCTTCTTATATCCTTACTCAAGCATTGTTTACTTAAAGAGGTATTTCAGGTGGTAAATCTCAGCTTAAAGGTTAAGATGCTGGTAAGTAACCTGAAAATATACATATTAAATATGTTAATTCTTCATTATATTTGTTCGAAGGTAGCAGTTAAATTTCTGCATTTGTCAGATACTGCCTAGAGAACATGTTTTTCAGCATGAACAAATTTGAGAAACTTAAGGTATACTGAAAGAAAACATGAAAATGCATGTAATTTTTTGTTTTATCTAGCCTGCTCTGAAAATACTACTAAAAATATTTGAACATGTGGCAGCTATGAAATTAAGGAATGCTGTGCCTGCTTTAATTGAGATCTTTTCCAAGGTATGGTTTTTATCTCTTACTCTCTAATAGGGGATAACAAAAAACAGACTGTTTCCACATAATCTTTGATCTGTCTTTCAATCATGTTCTACATACCAAAGAATTATATCTTCACAAATATTCTTTTTTCTCCTGAAATAATTCAGAAGCATACTCCAGGGACTTGTACACCTTTCCCTTAAAAGAATACTTCCGGGGCTAGAGAGATGGCTCAGCAGTTAAGAGCACTGACTGCTCTTGCAGAGGAGCCGGGTTCGATTCCCAGCACCCATATGGTGGCTACGAACCATCCTTAACTCCAGTTCCAGGGGAATCCATAGCCCTCTTCTGACCTCCGTGGCATTGCATGACACAGGTGCACTCACATACATACAGGCAATACACTCATAAACATAAAATTTAAATAATTTTAAAAAAAGAATACTTTCAAGTCGGGCATGGTGGTGCATGCCTGTGGTCTCAGCACTTGGGAGGCAGAGGCAGGCAGATCTCTGTGAGTTCAAGGCCAGCCTGGTCTACATAGTGAGTTCCAAGCCAGCTGGGGCTACAGGGAGACCCTGTCTCAAAAAGACCAAACAAAAAAATACTTCTAAGCACTTGAGTAACTGCTTTCTGATTACAGACTATCTTCATCTCTACTCCTAAAAATTGCTTTTTTTCTAAGCTGGGCATGGTGGCACATGCCTTTAATCCCAGCACTCGGGAGGCAGAGGCAGGCAGATCTCTGTGAGTTCAAGGCCAGCCTGGTTTCCCCAGGTCAGCTGGGGCTACAGGGAGACCCTGTCTCAAAAAGACCAAAAACGAAAAACAAAAAAAATGCTTTTTTCTAAAACATTTCAGGTCACAACAAAAGCAAATCAATATATAAATAGAAAGTTATGACTACAATAAATTAGCTAGAAATTGGTTTTAAATTTGGCACTAAACAAAATGAAAAATAAGAATTTTTTAATGCTATCCAAAAAATACACTTTTAATGTGTGTATACATGTTTGTGTGTGTGTGTATGTGTATGGAAACCAGAGGTCAATATCAGGTCTGTCTTACTCATTGACTCTCTACCCTATTTTTGAGACAAGGTCTCTCTTTAGGATAGGCTACCTGGTCAGAAAGCCCTAGGGATTGTCTTGTCTCTGAATCCCTAGCACAAGCATTCACTGCTGTGCCCAGTTTTTTTCATGAATGCTAAATATCCAAACTCAGGTCCTTAGCACTTTACCTACTGAGTAATAACTCCAAGCCCCCAAGTTTTATCTTTTGTTGAATAATTCCTAATACTGATGATTCATTCCAACCATCTACTTCAGAATAGGCCTAGTAGTAGGAAAGCCACCATTTGTGTTTTTAAACAACACTGTAACCACTCCTGCAGATTAACAGACATTTGAGTGACTATCTATAGTTCTACATGATAAAACTTGACAGATGGGCCTGAATAGATGGTTCTGCACTCTTGGAGAGGACGCACATTTGATTCCCAGCACTCATGACAGGTGAGATGGGTCACAACCATCTGTTACTCCAGCTCCAAGGGATCTGACACCCTCTTCTCAGGCACCCATACATATGAACATTCACTTATAGACATACACACATACACATTAATAAAAAAGATAAGTCTTTCAAAAAACTTGACAGAACTATTTGCCTGGGAATTTTCTGAATCAGAAGTTACCAGGGTTCGAACTATAGCTCAATTGGTAATGTGCTTGCCTAGCATGTATGAGGCTCTGTGTTCACTCTCCAGTACTACACAAAAAATGGCTATAATGGCACATGCCTGTAACCCTAGCATTCCAAAGGTGGAAGCAGAGGAGTCAGAAATTCAAGGTCATTCTCAACTACATGGTAAGTTTGAGGCCAGCCTGGGATACATGAAGCCCTCTCCAAAAAAGTTGTTTATCAACTATAGCACTATAGAGACCTTAATAAGAATCCCATAAACTGTGATTATGACTCTCTGCAAAACACATGCTGATTACTGTCCAAAGCAAATTGCCCTCCACAGAGAGGGTCTAACAAAGACAGTGATTTGGGGGTTTTAAGGGGTATTCTGCAAATGGTTGTTGGTTTTACAATCAGTTTGAAGTTGTTATTTCTAAAAGTGTTTGAGGCCAATATAAGCATCCTTGTTGAGAATATTTCAGAAATCAGGGATGACAAAACCATACTATCTTCATAGAAGATGTCTTTCCCCTGATTCTAGCAACGTGACATACCCTATTTCATCAACCTACTACCATAGAGAAAACAAATTCAAAGTTTATTTTATACTTAAAAATGATTGTTAACCTGTAGATGTCTGTTAGGTCCATTTGATGTATGGTATTGTTTAATTCAGATGTCTCTCTGTTAACTCTCTGTCCTGTTGACCTAACTAATGGAGACAGTGGGGTATTGAAGTCCCCTAATATTAATGAGTTGGGATTAATCTGGATCTTAAAGTCCTGTAATAGTGTTTTTATGAAGTTGGGTGCACCAGAGTTTGGTGAATATATGTTCGTGATTGTAATATCTTCTTGATTCATTGTTCCTTTGATCAAAATGAAGTGGCTCTCTTTGTCTCTTCTGATTAGTTTTAGTTTAAAGTCTATTTTGTCAGATATTAGAATTGCAAACCTGCTTTTTTCTTAGTACCATTCGCTTGGTATATTTTTTTCCATCCCTTCACTTTAAGGTAGCACCTGTCCTTGAAAGTGAGGTTTCTCGCAGACAACAAAAAGATAGGTTTTGTTTCTTAATCCAGTCACCTGGTCTGTGTTTTTTGACTGGGGAGTTCAGTCCATTGATATTTAAAGTTATTAATGAAAGGTGTGTATTGAATCCTGTCATTTTTATTTCTGTTCTCATTCTTGATATAGCTGTGCTTTTCCATACTTATACCTTCATTGAATTTCTTCCCTTGGGTATAGTCATTCCCTTCTTCAGCTCTTTGTGTTGCTTCAAGAACTCTCTGAAGGGCTGGTTTTGTGGACATGAATTCTTTCAGCCTATTTATGTCATGGAAGATTTTTCTTTCCCCTTCGACTATAATAGACATTTTGGTTGGGTATAATAATCTGAGCTGGCATCTGTGGTCATTTAAAACTGGGAATACTTTGGTCTAGGCTCTTCTGGCTTTTATAGTTTGCACTGAAAAGTCAGCTGTAATCCTGATGGGTTTTCCTTTATATGTGACTTGTTTCTCTTTTGCAGCTTTCAGTATTGTCTCTTTGTTCTGTACGTTTAGTGTTTTCACTATGATGTGCTGTGGAGAGTTTCTTTTCTGGTCCTGTCTATTTGGTGTTCTATGTGTGTCTTGTATTTGTATGGGCATGTCTTTCTTAATTTTAGGAAATTTTCTTCTACAATTCTGTTGAAGATCTGGTCCATACCATTATCTTGAGATTCTTCTCCTTCCTATATGCCTATGATTCCTAAGTTTGGTCTTTTTATGATGTCACATAATTCCTGAATATTCCATTCTTGTGTTTTCTTAAATTTTTCATAATCTTTGCTTTATCAGACCAGTTCATCAACTTTATCATCCAGTCTCGAAATTTTTTCAATTTTATTCATTCCATTAGTGACGGTTTTTCTTGTCATTTCTAATTGGCTTATTGAGTGTTCACTTCCTTCTTCCAGTTCTTTGATTTCTTTGTGTGTTCTTTAAATTCACCGAATTCTTTTATCAAGTTTATAATTGACTATTAATAATCAGATGCATAGGGATTAGAGACACGTGCAGACTTCTAAATGTTAGTAGCATTAAAAATGAGTTTTTCTGTATGAAACTGTATTTTAAAATGAAATGCAGGTCTTCTTTTAAAGGTTAAAACCTCATTCAATTTTATGTCTTATGGGGTTTATACTGAGTTCAGTATTGTATAACTGTATTAATTCAACTGGGAACCTAAAAATTTACAGCCACTTTTGAAAGAGATGCATCTTTGCTCTGGAAATTGTTATTGAATACGTTAATGCTGTAATGAAATGCTTCTTCTAATCATGTGGTTATTAAATAATTTTTAAAAAAAGATTGTTACCTAGTTTGTCAAGAAATAATTATATTTACTCTGGTTTTAGCAGTGTTAAAGGGTAAGTTTTAAGGGCATCAGTAACCAGGTAGCTAATTGGTTCTTTCACAGGCCTATTTTGTGTTTGGCCCTGTCCATTTGATCAAAAATCATAGCAGGGCAGGGAATGCAGTGGCCAACAGGGCTGTTACAGAGCAGAACAGTAAGCCCTTATGGTTCTTTCTCTATCACGTTATACTGTTCAGAAAGCTATTTCATGTTCAGTAGGTTTAGGAAAGGAGTTTTGTTTTTTGTTTTTGTTTTTGTTTTTTCCTTTTTTAAAATAAAATTGACTGTGCTTTTCATCCAGAGGAGCTAATGGAAACAATTCAAGGATTAGCATTTCTGGGGCTGGAGCAATGGCTCAGTGGTTAAGAGCACCAGCTGGTCTTGCAGAAGACCCAAGTTTGATTCCTAGCACCAACTTGGCAGCTAACAACAGTCTATAACTCCAATTCCAGGGGATCCAAAGCCACCTTCTTACCTCCATGGGCATTACACAACATGATGCACTTACTACACACATGCAGGCAATACACTCATACACATAAAATAAAGATGATAAAACTAAAATATTAAAAAAATTAAAAAGGATTGGCATTTATAATGGGCATGAACCAGTTATTTTACAAAGTTTTTCACCAAAACTGTTTCCAGTTTGTTTAATCTTATGGCTTAGAGTGGAGTTTCTAGGACCCTTAAAAGGTTTCACCTAAGCCAGGTATGGTATCACATGCCTTTAGTCCCAGCACTCCAGAGGCAGAGGCAGGTGGTTCTCTGTGAGATTGAGGCCAGCCTCATCTACATAGTGAGTTCTGGGCCAACTGGGGCTATGGGGAGACACTGTCTCCAAAATAAAACAAACAAAAAAAGGTGCCACCAAATTTAAGTCAATTTTTCTAAGAATCAAAAGACTCAGTGATTTTTTTTACAATTATCCTTCACTAAAAGAAATTCCATCTCATATGTCAGTTTTAAGTTTTATTGAACAAGTGGAAGAGCCAGCTTCCTCTCCTGCTGTTTTGATCTCATTCAAAACACTTTGAGGGAGGCCAAGGAGATGGCTCAGTGGGAAAAAGTGATTGCCACGCAAGAATGAGAACCTAAGTTTGGATCCCAAGAACTCACCTTAAAATACCAGATACAGTGCACACATCTGTGATCCTATCATTTCTAAGGAAAGATGGAAGGCAAAGACAGGAGAACCTCCCAGAAGCCAATGGGACAGCTAGCCTGGGGTACGTAAAAAACAGAAAAGACCCTGTCTCAAACAAAGTGGAAGGTAAGATCCAGCTCCCAAAAGTTTTTCTCTGATCTCCACACATGAGCCATAACACGTGTGCCTCCAATCACACACACATCTTATACAACACAACACATACTTAGAATTAATTAATTAATTAATTAATTAAAAATGCAAACATCCTGATGTTTAATAATTTTTAAACAGGACACATTTTCTGAAAACCAAAACATAGCCGTGGCAGAGTTTTAGGACCTTTATACTTTGAGCTGAGTCGGTCTCACCCATCTGTCTGCCCCTAGGGTAGCACTGGAAGGACCTGCAACAGAGGCCACTGTGAGACTGTCAGTCCACAACCTTGAGCCTTCCCACCCTCCCAGGACAACAGCTGTAGAAGACCTGCCTCCCATTTACCCATTCTTATACCAGAAGCACCCAGATACTTCCACTAGCTCTCTTGATTAGAGCTGAGGGACAGGAAAGAAAAGAAAAAAGAACAGGAATTGAGGCATGTGTGAATTGGGGAGAAAATTTCTATAAATTAAGTTTTGAAATCAAATAATTCACTGTATGTGGGCACTAAGTCACATAAGTTGTTAATTTATTATGTAATGACCAATTCTTCTGGCCATGGCCCTAGGTAAGGCTCAGAACAAACTTCTCAGGAATTTATAATCAATATGAGGTTTATAATCAATACCAGTGCTATAATGAGACAGACTGCCAGATAAGAGTGATTGAGATAACTTGAAGAACAGGAAGAAAACTCAATTTTTATAGTTGAAATTATTGTTTTCATTTTTTCTTTAATTTTGGTTCTGGTTTTGGTTTTGAGACAGGGTCTCTCACTATATAGCCCTGACAGGCCTGGACCAGGCTGGCCTCCAACTCAGAGATCTGCCTGCATCTACCTCCTAAGTGCCACCACTTTTAGCTACTTTAAATTCTTAAAGTCATCCTCAAACAGTTGAAGAAGTTATGCTTCAAATTTTTTAATGAGTGTCCTCCATAGGCTCTAAGTATTTAGACACTTGGTCCCCAGTTCTTGGTGTTGTTTGGAGAGAGTCATGGAACCTTTAGGAGGTATGGCCATTCTGGAGGAAGCACATCACTGGGGGTGGACTTTGAGAGTTCATAAGCCTTGCCAGATTACCAGTTTCACTCTGCTTCCTGTGCCTGCTCTAAGGTGAGCACTCAGCTTTCTGCTCCAACCACCTCCTGCCCCTGTGCCTCCCCAGCCACCATGATGGATTTTTATCCGTCTGGAACTGTAAGCCAAGTAAGCTCTTCCTTCTGTAAGTTGCCTTAGTCAAAATGTTTTATCACAGCCACAGAAAATACTAATGAGTTTCTAGTACTCAGTAACTAGTATCTGTAATGCAATGAGCTTCATTTCATTTCTACCTCTCCCATGTTTTACTCCTCCATCTGTGTCTCAAGTCATTTCTCACACATTGGCTTCTTAATTCTTTCACATTTGTATAAGAATAACTACATTTTTTTTCTTCTTCTGCAGTTTGTTGAAGCTGGGATGATGCTTGATCCAGAACACTTTAACTATATTATTAAGCTTTTATACCAAGCACAGGCATCCCAACAAGAAATAACTACAGTTCTGCAAATCAAATCCAGGTAAGATTTAAGATTAAATGCCCGTATTTGGGTGGGGACCTAGAGAGGGTGAAGGTGAAATATCTCAGACTGCTGTCACTCATCCTAAGTCCTTATCTGTCTCTTGCCACATCTGACCGAGTAAGGTCTCTACTCGCCTCACACATCTTTCTCTGTTCCTTGTTTTACCTCTGTCTGGCCCATTAGGGGCAAAGGAGTCTCTCTAATCTTGTTTCACTTTGTATTTAATTCCACTTAATGCACTCTGATATTTATTTAAATTACCTTAACTCTTTTTTTTTCTCTCTCGCTTACTTTTTGTCATGTTAGCTTAATGCTCATACTTCTTTTCATTTACTTTGTCTACTCAGCTTATGAGGCTTCAAGTGCTTCTTCATTTGTTTAATCTCTGATAACTGTAAGAGTAGTGCCATAAGTTTGGGGATACACCTCCTTGGCAGAGCACTTGCCTGGCATTTACAAAGTCCTGGGTCCCATCTCTAGCAATGCAAAAAATAGACAAGCAGTACCATTACATGCCTGTACTGAGAAAAAGGAAAGCCATGATTAAAATTTTTTGTTGGTGCTGGGAAGATTACACAGTAAAGTGCTTGCCACACAAGCAGGAGGTCCTGAGTTCAATCCGCAGCACCTACGTAAAAAGCTGAGCATGGCCAAGTGTGGTGACACATTCATTTAGTCCCAGGACTGAATAGGCAGAGGCAGATGGATCTCGGTGAGATCAAGGTCAGCCTGGTCTAAGATTAAGTTTCAGAACACTAAAGGAAGACCATGTTTGAAAAAAATAAACAACAAAAAGCTGAGCATAGTGGTACATGCTAGTAATCTCATCATAACAGAGACAGAGACAGGTGGATCCCTGGGGTCAGCTGGCCAGCCAGCCTTGCCTACTTAGCAAGTTCTGGGTTCAAGGAGAGATCTTGTTTCAAAATAAAAGAGGGACAGCTCCAGAAGAACCACAGCCAAGGCTGATCTCTGGCCTCTACACACAGAGAAAAAGAGAGAGGTTTCTTTGGAAGAGATAAAGGGTAGATGTGATGGCTAATCCTGGGTCTCAACTTGATTGGATCTCGGATTAACTGAAATGAAAGAGATCTTCTTGATTGGATCATCTAAAACCAGAAGACACACCCTAAATGTGGGCGTTACCTTCTGATGGCCGCCGGTATAAAAGACCAAGGCAGAGGAGAGCACCAAGGCTTCTTGCTGCTTGCTTTCTCTCTCGCTGGTGAGTTCGTCTTGCTGCTGTAGACTGAAGACTAGCTGATCTTTTGGAATTTGTCAGACCTTCAGCACCGGATTGGGACTACTGAGACATCCAGCCTTGTGGACTGAGCGACTACAGATTCTCAGCCTCTCCAGTGTGGTGCAGCCATTGTTGGACTACTCGGACTCTATCCTGTGAGCTAAGCTGATAAATATATATATATTCATTCTGCCGGTTCTGTTTCTTTAGAGAACCCTGACTAATACAGTAGACATAAACTATAAACAGCAAGAGTAAGACAAGAGTAGCACTGTAGATCCTCCTACCACTGTGGATTGCTACAAACAACTCAATGCATATGAACTCAGCAATGAAGATGAAGTGAAGATCTGAGTAGTTGTATAATCATTGAAGAAATGTCATCCACAATTTAACAGCTTCTGAAAAAGTCATTCCAAGACCCAGAGTTTCCCTAAAGATGAGTCTGCACAAATTTGCACAGACTTCTAGAAAATAGAAAAGAATAATATTTAATGGACTGTATTCTTTCTGTGGCTTTTTTGTTTTTGTTTTTTGTTTGGTTTGGTTTTTGCTTTGTTTTGTTCTGGGTTTTTTCATTTTTTTTCCCCAGATAGAGTCTCACTATGTAGTCCAGGCTGTCTTGGAATTTTGATGACCCTGCCTCAGCCTCCCAACTGCTAGGATTATAGGCATGTGCCACCATGCCTAGCTTATCAGCAGTTTTGAGGCCAGAATTACCCATATACAAAAACCAACATGGGCCCAATGTGGTAGTGCACACCTTTAATTCCAACATTCCAGAGGCAGAAATAGGTGGATCTCTGCGTTTGAGGCCAGCCTGGTCTACATAGAGAGTTCCAAGCCAGCCAGAGCTACATAATAAGACTATCTGAAAAAAAAAAAAGGGTGCAAGAAATGCCACGTGTGGTAGCTGAATACCTGTAATCTAACACTTAGGGAGACAGAGGCAAGAGGATCAAGAATTCAGGTCTAGCATTGGCTATATAACAAGGTTGAGGCCAGCATGGGCCCTGTAAGACCCTATCTCAAAAACAAAGAAAAGGAACTATAAACCAGTATCTTTTATGAACTCAATGTAAAAATCCTCAACAGATTAGAAATAAAGAACAAATTCTTTAACTTGGTAAAGAAAGCTGTAACCAACCTATAACAAACATCATACTTGGATGAAGACTAGAGGTTTGTCTTCAAGATTGAGAACAAGCCAAGACTGTCTGCCCATACCTCTCTTTCAAAATAATATTGAAAATCCATGCCAGTGTAGTAAGAAATGAATGAAAGACACACAGATTGGAAGTAAAATAATACTCTGCATTTGCAGGTAGCAGGCATTTCTACAGCAAACAATCTCCCAAAAATAGTCCCAGAACTAATGAATGAGTATAGTAAAGTTGCAGAATAAAAACTAACTTCCTATGTACCAGCAATGAACTGGGGAAACCAAAATTTAAAACAGCACTATTTATGATGATTCAAAAAGAAGTATCTGTCTAAAAATCTAATAAAACATTCATATCATATGCTGGAAGTTATGAAATGTTAAAAGAGATTAAATAAATGGAGAAACATACTATTTGTGAATTGAAAGGCTCAACAAAGATGTCAATTCTCCCCAAATTCATTTATTGGTTTAATTCAATTCCTAGCAAGGTTTTTTTATGGATATAAAAATACCTTGTTCTAGCTGGACATGGTGGCAGATATCTATAATCCCAGCACTTAGAAGCCTAAAGCAAGAAGGTAAACACCTGGGACTGACAAGCTGACTCAGCAGGTAAAGGTGCTTGTCACCAAGCTTGGCAACCTGAGCTCCATATCTGGAACCACTCTTCTGACCGCTACATGTGCACTTTGATATGTGTGTGCCCACATACACTGCACACACACACACACACACACACACACACACACACAGATACACAATAAATATAAAATAATAAATGTAAAAAATGAGCTGTAAGCCGGGCGTGGTGGCGCACGCCTTTAATCCCAGCACTCGGGAGGCAGAGGCAGGCAGATCTCTGTGAGTTCAAGGCTAGCCTGGTCTACATACTGAGTTCTAGGACAGCTGGGGCTACAGGGAGACCCTGTCTCAAAAAGACCAAAAAAATGAGCTGTTTTAGAGTATATTTTATGCATTCATTTTTTTCAGGCCCTGTACATTTAAACTATAGAACAAATAAGAACAGTGGTGACCTAGGAATGAAATAAGCATAATTAATTCTCTTCTGTCATTAAAGGTTACAAGTGAGGCAATTTAAAAAGAACTGGAAGTGTGATTTAGACTCAGCTTTGAAGGAAGTAGAGGTATGAAATTTATCTTTTAAAGAAGCTGCTGGAATCGCTTAAAATCAATAACAAAATGTTTGAATAATCCACTTTCGGAAGAGCTTTGGAAATATTGCTGTTAGAATGCTAAGGAAGACAATTCTGGTAGCTATGTTTTTACAAATTAATATTTTAAGAAACATTTTAATTTCTAGGATTGTGGGCTGGAGATGGAGTTCAGCAATAGGTCATTTCATTTGCCTAGTGTTTGCACAGCTCTGGGTTCTATCCCCAATCTCTCTGCCCCCCTCCCCAAAGTAAATATAGAGTTGTGAACTATTTTAAAACTAATTCTGAAAATAGCTATTCTAATTCAAAGTTAGCTTGTGCTAAGGTAAAAATCATGATCCAAAGTTTAGTCTGTAATTCAGTTCTGGGCAGATGCTCGACTGATTCTCAGTTGTAGGTAGCAGTGGGTATGAACTGAAAGCCAGGACCACAGTGCATTCTCTTAGCATTTATGTTTTTAAAAGAGGGGGGGGTTCACTAGAGAAATGGCTCAAGAGTTAAAGGGAGCATACTGTTCTTGCAGAGGATCTGAGTTCAGTTCCCAGCACCCACATGAGGCCACTCACAATTGTCTATAAGTCCAGCTCCTGGAAATCTCTCACCCTCTTCTGGCCTCTGCAGGCACCCACACATTTGTGCATGCCCACATACAGACACAAATGCATACACATAATTAAAACTAAAATCCTTTTAGCTGGGCGTGGTGGTGCATGCCTTTAATCCCAGCACTCGGGAGGCAGAGGCAGGCGGATCCCTGTGAGTTCAAGGCCAGCCTGGTCTCCATAGCAAGTTCCAGGACAGCTGACGCTACAGGGAGACCCTGTCTCAAAAAGACCAAAAATAATAAAATCTTTTTAGAAAGTACAGAGTGCCTTAGTAATGGCTTTACTCTTTTTCTTTTTAACTGTACAAGTGTTATTTTTCCTTAATCTCAAAGCTATTTCTAGTACAAAAAGCCATATTAACATTTTTTATTGTAAAACAACATGATTACAAAACTTTGGATAAAAAGTATGTCAACTTTTATTTAGTTACTTGGAAGAAAATCCACCACTCCATCAGTACCACCCAAAGTGGTTTTGGCTGTGATTAAAATCAAAATAATGCATCTTAATAAATTCCAACTAGGTTTGTTAAAAGAACAAACTTAGCAATGTATAATAGAAAAATATGGAATGCTTTCATAAATTTCATGTCATCCTTGCACAGGAGCCATGCTAATTGTCTCTGTATTGTTCCAATTTTAGTTTATATCCTGCTGAAATGAGCACAGGGTGACTTTATTGTTGATACCAGTTTTGTATACCTCATACTGATTAGTATGGTTATATCCTTGAAAAGACTTTCTGTTGCCATAAAATTTTCCTAGGTTTATGATGGAAAATGGGAGATAGTAAGTTTACTGAAATTTGCTTTGTGGGCCTTTTTGTAAAAATGTAATGCCCCAAATGAGATGTGGACCCCAAATCATAAATAGCCATCTCTGAAAGCAGTAAATAAAATAACATGTTGCTGCTGAGACAGCTCAGGCAATGCCAGTCATTGCAGGTTCTCATGAAGCCTCTCTTGTGTCAAGTCCAGGTTTGAGAGTGATGTCAGTGAGAACTTGAACTGAATAGTTAAAGTATATTGATCACTGTCTGGAAGCATAGGTTTGCTGTAGTCAGGACTATAAAGCTACAGTAGTATGTTATTGAAGCCCTGCTTGTCAGAAAAGTCTGAGGTTCCAGTCAGGTCACATTGACTTCTGTACACTTTCAAGTGTGTTCCTCTGGTAGCACAGGCTTGCAGAATTGGATGATCCTCTGTTTCTTTTCTTCTCTCCTTTCTTTCGTTTATAATAATTTTAATAGACTTGTAAAGAAAATGGTGACTGGACCAAATTGGGAAGCCTGTACATTAACATAAAAATGGGCTGCGAAGAATTTGCAGATTTCCAGAGATTCTGCACTTGTGTTGCTGAAACACTCACAAAAGACTATAAAGAAGAAAGACCAGGTGTTCCCTTTTATGAATTTGCTGAAACAGGTAAAATGCCACTATTTTGTTCTGAGAATTGTGTGGTAGAAAGTACAGTTCTTTATTTTTATTTTATGTGTAGGAGTGTTTTGCCTGCATGTATGTGTGTGCACCCATGTCTGTGCAATATACCCAATGGAGGCCAGAAGAGGGGGTTGAATCCCTTGGAACCGGAGTTATAGGTGGCTGTTGGCACCATATGGGTGCTGGGAACCAAACCTGGGTCCTCTGCAAGAGCAGCCAGTGCTCTTAACCGCTGAGGATCTCTCCAAGCTAGAATACAGTTCTTAACCTGGTGCGGTGCTTGATATTTCCATGCAGAGGACAAGTAAGAGTGGCAGGTTTCAGGTACTCCCCCTCCAAGTTAGATTATAATCATATAAGGGCGTAGAATGTGAGTATATATCTTTTCCATTTAGATTGATAAAATGATTGCTAGCAAGTATACTGGAGCACCTGAATTTTGGAGTCACTGAAGTTTTTACAATCTTCACTATCACAAATCTAAAAAATTTCTCCTGAGATAATGTCTCACTTTGAAGCCTGGGTTAGCCTTAAACTTGTAATCTTTCTGCCTCAGCTTCCCAAGTGATAGGATTAGATGATGGCAATCACACACACTTGAGTTTTGTTGGGTTTTTTTTTGTTTTTGATGTGAGCTCTTCACTTGTACAGTCTTTATCAATAGGAGATCACAAACTTTTTCTGTAAAAAGCCAGATAGTAACTATCTCAGGCTGTGCATGCACCCTAGATAGTCTCCTTCACATGCTTCCCTTTGATTTTTAAACAGTTCTGTAAAAATAAATCCATTGTAGTCTGGGCATGGTAGCACATGCCTTTAATCCCAGCATTTGGGAGATAGAGGCAGGTGAATCTCTGTGGATTTGAGGCCAGCTTGGTCTAATGGTGAGTTCCAGGCCAACCAGAGCTACATAATAAGATAGTCTCAAAAAAGCAAAAGTAACAATAGATTTATTTATAGCACAGGCTAGATTTGTCTTGCGGGACAGAATTTGCCATTACTGGGTCTTGGAAGTAATTTCAGTGATTCCACGTTAATTTGTCTTCTGATCATTTTAAGTACTGTCTCATTTACTTCCATATGTCTACCTTGTGTTTCAGTTAGCAAAGATCCACAATATAGTGAAGTTGATAAAACTTTGCTGGGAAGAATTGGAATCAGTGCTATGTACTTCTATCACAAACTGCTGCAGTGGTCTAAGGTACTTCATAGCATTTTTGGTTTGGTTTGTATAGAGAATCTTTTTTTTTTCTTTTTGGTCTTTTTGAGACAGGGTCTCCCTGTAGCCCCAGCTGTCCTGGAACTCACTATGTAGACCAGGCTGGCCTTGAACTCACGGAGATCCACCTGCCTCTGCCTCCTGAGTGCTGGGATGAAAGGCGTGCGCCACCACACCCGGCCTGGTATAGAGAATCTTAATTTTAAAATTATGAACGGGGGCTGGAGAGATGGCTTAGCAGTTAAGAACACTTTCTGTTCCTCTAGAGACCCAGAGTTCAATTCCCAGCACCTACATGGCAGCTAACCACTATCTGTAACTCCAGTTCCAGGGGATCTGACACCCACTTCTGGCCTCTGCAGGCATTAGATATATGTGGTACACTTATACACATAAAATAAAAATAATAAGTAAAAATTTTTACAAGTAAAATATTTTTAATAAAAAATAAAAATTATGAACAGAATATGGATTAATCCTGAAAATCAGAAATTTTCTAATAATCTTAAATGGTATATGAAGCAAATGCAGAAAGGAGGGTATGAGACCAGTTGCTATTTTAGAATCTCATCATAGCCAATACATAGAGGCTGTGTTAGAATACCATATTTATTTGAAGCAGTTTTCAGTTCATAATTTACTTTGACAACTTCTAAATTGTCATAATTTTGAAAGAGCTCAAAACACCTTTTTGTTTTTTGACATATCACTGTATAGCACTTACTGGCCTGAAACTCATTATGTAAACCAGGCTGGCCTCAAACTCAAAGATCTGCCTGATCTGCTTCCTGAGTGCTGAGATTACAGACATACACCATTACACCCAGCAAAACATCTTTCTTAAGGTGAACTCAACATGCTCACAATCATCAAAACTCTTTACAGATCACCTCTTGAAATACTCTGGGGCACTGTGCTATGTATGTCCATGTCTAACTTTCTGAACCTAGCTCACCATATAAGTAGTGTTTTGATCCAAGACCATACTCTTTTGTTTTATTGTATCTATTTATGTGTTTGTATGCGCATGCGCACACACACCACAGGATGAATGTGGTAGTCAGAGACAACTTGCAGGAATTGGTTCTCTCCTTCCGTCCTATAGGTCTGGAGATTGGACTTAGGTTGTTGGTTTTGATAGCAACAGCCTTTACCTGCTGAGCTATTTTACCAGCCCTCAAGACCATACTTTCTTTTTTTCAGTCTTTTTGAGACAGGGTCTCCTTGTAGCCCCAGCTGGCCTGGATTCGCTATGGAGACCAGGCTGGCCTCGAACTCAGCTTGCCTCTGCCTCCCAAGTGCTGGGACTAAAGGTGTGCACCACCACACCAGCACTATATCTCCATTCTTTAGGTTTCTCTGAGGTGATAAGTTGAGTTGTAGACTCAACAAAGTCCAAATACAGGACGTGAAAATCCAATGAGGGAAGAGCTGAGGATGCCTGTGCTAACACATGTAGAAGCCAGAGGTTGATGTCAGGTGTCTTCTTCAGTCATTGTTCCACCTTATATTTTGAGACAGGATCTCTCACTGAAGCTGGCTGTCCAGTGACCCCCTGGGAGCCTCCTGTCTCTGCTCCCCAGCACTGGGGTTACAAAAATACGCCACCACACAGCTTTTACATGCATTCTAGGGATCCAAACTTGATGCTTGTGTGGCAAGTGCTTTACCAACTGAGCCATATATTTAAAGTCTTGTTTATATAGTGCTGGAGAATAAGCTGAGGGTCTCACGCATGCTAGGTAAGTACTTTACCACTGAGCTACATCTCTGCCCCCTCCCTTTTTACTACATTCTTAAAGAGCTATGAATTGAATAATTACCACCCTCAGTGGTTAAAAGCAAAGGCTGTTCTTGCAGAGGACCCAGAAACCACATGACCGCTAACAACTGTCCATAACTCCAGTTCCAGGGGATCTGGTGCCCTCTTCTGATCTCCGTGGGCATTGCACACACATGGTGCGCATACAGATACACAGACAAAACACTCATATAAATAAAATACTCATTTTTAAAAAATTAACAATAACCAAAAGGATTTCAGCACACCAAATGCAGCCTGCAAAGTCTGAAGTATTTACTGATGGGATAGGTGAGATGGCTCAGCAGTTAGTAGCACATACTGCTCTTGTGGAAGACCTGAGTTTGGTTCCCAGCATCCACATAGGGCGGCAGCTCACAACCTCCTGTAACTGCAGCTCCAAAAGACCCAACACCCTCTTCTGGCTTCTGTAGACACCTGCATTCATGTACACATACACATGATTTAAAATAAAATCTTTTTTTTTTTTAAAAAAAAAGGGGGTATTTACTATTGGGCTATATACAAGTAGAGTTGGCCAAGCCCTAGTTTAAAATAATAATATACACCAAATTACTAATGTCCAAATCAAAGACAATCTTCATGTAGAGTCTGTCAAGTTACTCATTTATTGAATTAGAAAATAGCTATTTCCACCCAACAAGTTTAGCCTTCCCCCCCCACTATCATTTCACCCAAACCTGGTAACAGATTACCTTCATTTTCATCCACTCTCCCTCTTGCATCTCAGACTGATCAATAGTAAAAATAGCAAAAACATACAGTCAGTAGTTTTCCATATTAACACATGAAATCCTTTTGTCAATCAAATGAAGTTTTTTGGTATTTTGTTTTTTGGGGTTTTTTTAATTTTTAATTTTTATTTTATGTGTATGAGTGTATTGACTGTGTGTATGTGAGTGCACCCGTGTCGTGCAGTGCCGCGGAGGTCAGAAGAGGGTTTCAGATTCCCCTGAAACTGGAGTTAAGGACGGTTCGTAGCTGCCATGTGGGTGCTGGGAATCGAACCCAGATCCTCTGCAAGAGCAGTCAGTGCTCTTAACCACTGAGCCATCTCTCCAGCCCCAAGTATTTTTTTTAAGACAGGGTCTTACTATGTAGCTCAAGCTAGCCTTGAACTGCTGACAATCCTCCTGCCTCAACTTCTGAGGTGCTGAGTTTATAGGTGTAAGCTGTACATGCCTCTAAATACAATCTTAAAGAAACAGCTTAGTGCATCATATTGATGATAAAAGGAGAACTCCTGATGAAGAAGGTGTATGTCAGTTTGGGGAGGGGATGGTTAATGAGGTAACTGCTGAAGAAGATAAGCATGTCGTTTGGGGGTGGTTGTTAATAGGAGATAAGGTTCAGCTCATTTCCTTCCCTTATGATTTCTGAGCAGGAAGGCTTAAAGAGTCTTGTTGCAATTTGGCTACTGTTAGTCTAGCATGATAATTTAGATTGGTCACTGTGTGTTATCATTGACTTTGTGTCTATCTACTAGTGATCTTGATTTTCATTTCAGGGAAGGAAGGTCTTAGATATACTGTATGAATTAAAAATACATTTTACAAGCTTAAAAGGACTTACAGGACCTGAGAAATTAGCACCAAGATGTCAAATTGTGAATATTGCAGCAGAAATTTTTATAAAAAGTGGAAGCCTGGATGGTGCCATTTGGGTATTGAGGGGTAAGTTCTGATTATGCATGCACAGAATAATTTGTTACTCCTATAAATCCTTTTCTGTGTAATTACCTTAAATTGCTACTGAGCTGTGGGTAATAGTTTGGTCGAAACTTTAGTAAACATGTGGGTAGAAAGTCACTGTTATGTAAACTGAAAGGGGAAAGTGGGCTTAGCTTTAACTTATCCTTGATTGACAAAGTTTGTTCTTGATGTAGTCTAGCTGTCATAGTCTGGAACTGCTGCAGCTTCCATCATATAGATTTAAAGGTATAGTTAGAGATGCTAAATGGCATAACAAGTGAAGGAGTGGAGGCCAAATCAAACCCACAGTCCAGCTTCAGAAGGCAAGGCTTAGCCATTGTGAGACCACAGCCTGCATAGACCCAGTCTTCCCCTATCTTGGCAAAAGTACCCTCAAACCAAGATGCTTATTTCCCAGTTGTGATTATCTTGAGATGTATAATTTTCATGGTGTTTTTCTTTTGGGAGAATCGGAATGGATAATCAACACACCACTCTGGCCATGTGATAGACTGGATGTGCTTAACCGCCATAATTTGCTCTGTATCATTGCACATGAAATCCTGGGCAAGAGCCTTTACAGACAGACATTTGAGGTTTTGCGGAATCTACCAGGCTTTCAAAATTCTCAAGGTATATTTTTTAGGTCTTTGTTAACTTTTAAAGATTTACTTATTTTTATTTTATGTGCATTTGAGTACCCACATGTATGTAAATTCACATGTATGCAATGCCTAGGCAGGCCAGAAGAGAATGACAGATCCCCTGGAACTGGAGTTAGCTGCCTGATACGGGTGCTCGGAACTGAACCCAGGCAGGCCCTCTGCAAGAACAGCAGGTGCTCGTAATGCTGAGCCATCTTCGTAATGCTGAGCCATCTTTCCAGCTCTACCTTCATTAACTTTTGCCAGTCTGGTGCTTGATGGTTAATAAGAAACAGTTTTCCGCCTATTCTAGTTAGGTTTTATATTACAGTATTTTTTGTTGCTGTTGTTTGTTTTTAATGATTTCCTATAAAGTGTGTTCTCTGTAAATTACGTGATGGAGATGCTTCTCTGGATTGTCAGTACCTCCTGTTCCCTCTCCCTGCCTCTGAACACTGTCAGTGAGCTCATATCTTTTTAGAAATATTTTTATTTATTTTAATTTCTCGTGTATGAGTGTATTGCCTGCATGCATTTAAGTGCACCTGTGTCACTCAATGCACTTGGAGGTCAAAAGAGGGTGTTGCATCTCCTGGAACTGAGTTCATGAGCAGAAGCTTTGGGTCAGGAAAGAGCTGTGACAGTTCACAAAATGACATGCAAATGTAAATGTAGGGCCTCCCCCAGGGCTCTCATCATATCTGCTCTAAACCTCATTTTCCATTAATTCACCCAGACACTGTACTGTACCCTGCTGTAACCAGCATTTGAAGGGTGCACTTCATGCTACTGATACTTTCCATTCCATTCCCAGCCAGCAAAGGCTGCAGCTCAGCTGGCCTTTAACACACAGTTGTGTTGCTAATGAAACAAAGCAGGTATGGAGATTGGACAGATACTTGTTTGGATTTTAGAAGATCCTAAATGGCGAAACAAAGAGTTTTCTTCTTTATGTGTAGAAGGGCCATACATAAAGGGGTAAGGGAGTGATAGAACAGTGTCTTAGGAAAGCTCCTCTGCAGCAGTATTTAGAAAGATATTAAAGGGAAGGAGATTAATTTCCTGATAAAGCTGGGGCTACTAAAAGATCCTAAAGTGATAAAAACCTAGAGTAGGTTTTTAGAGTAGGGTCACAGACCCTACTGAGTAATAAGAGTTGGAAGGTCTTCAGGTGACTTCTTTCCTCTCAGAATTACTAAAGGAATAGAAATACCCACTAAAAGATACCTTTTAGAGTAAATATTTATTTGGAAAAGGAAAGACTAAGGTCTGAGCTGTACAAACAGAACCATGAAATCATTCAAAACTGCAGATCCGTCTCATGTGGGGATGAAATGCAGAAGAGTTGGTGTAGCCTATGATGCCCTTGTCAAGCTGCTTTTCACATTCTGCATCATATGAAATAACAGTTCTACTTTGTCAAATGCTGTTTCATTTCTTACTTAGTAATATGACTGCACTTTAGTGATTCTGATTTCTGTAATGGGATGAATGGGCCGAAGGGGAGGGAGAGAGATAGTTGGAGTTAAAATCCATCTTTATATTATTGTATTGTTTTTCATTTTATTGTATCCTGTTTTTTTCATTTCAGAAACCGTGGAGGTTTCCCAGTATAGCCTTCTTTTTAATAAGCTTCTAGATGCCTGTATAGAAAGTAACAGTCTTGGCATATCATCTTCTGTAGCAGAATTCATGATTTCAAAGAGCATCCCTATTGATTTTTCCTTTCTTAGGAGATTAATTACTTCTTTAGGAAGGAGTTGTTTATGGCTCAAAGCCAGAACCCACTATAAAAGTAAGTTCCATTTAAATTTTTTAACATGTTGACTTTTAGTTTTATTTTCTAATCCAGAATCCATCTATAATGTTTAAAACTAGATTTTTGAAGCTAGGTGTTGGTGATGCATGCCTTTAATTCCAACACTCAGGAGGCAGTGAAGGCTGATCTCTGCGAGATCAAAGCCAGATACATAGTGAGTTCAAGGCCAGCTGGGGTTCCAGGGAAACCCTGTCTCAAAAAGACTGAAAAAAAAAACTAGGTTTTTAAATATGTAAAAATAACAGCTGATACATATACAAAGGTATTGGTCTAAGCAGATCTGTTGTCTTTTGAATGTTTTTTTCTCTTTCCAATTTCCATGGTTTGTTTTTTGTTTTTTGTGTTTTTTGGTCTTTTTGGCCCTGTAGCCCCAGCTAGCCTGGAACTCACAATGTAGACCAGGCTGGCCTTGAACTCATAGGGATCCACCTGCTTCTGTGCCCCGCCCTCCCCGGGGTCGGGTGTTAGAGTTAAAGGTGTGCTCCACCAGGCCCAGGTCTTTATTTCTTAGCCTGTTATCAATTCCACTAGAGGGCAAACAAAGGAAATAAATGACAAATTTTGAAACAGTTTGACATATCTTACAACATAGGAATAAAAGAGTTGAGTAGATTGGAATTTAAAGACTATCCCCAGTCTTCATAGCTTACTCCATAGGTCATGTAGAAGTCCAGAGACTTCCGTGGAGTATGACAGCCATGCCATCCTAGTTGCAGGTGTTTCTCTCCTTAACAAGTCAGCCTAGAGAACTTGTGCTCCTCTGCTCTTCACCATTGGAAGACACTGTGGTTGGAAATACCAGCTATGATCACGTTAGCCAGTGGTAACTTTTTCCCCAGTGAAATGGGAAAATAAGTATTAGGCTGCATTGCAGGTAATGAGGTTAAATACTTGATACACATTTTCTTTTTTGTTTTTCGGGGTCTTTTGGGTTTGTTTTTGGAAAACAAGGTTTCAGTAGCTCAGGCTTCATGCAGGCATGCACACACAAATAAATATATAACAAGTAAATGGGCAAGTAAAAATTTAAATATAAAAATGTTACTGGAGCCAGGCGTGGTAACTTATGGCAGAGGCAGGTGGATCTCTGTAAATTCAAGGCCAGTCTGGTGTCTGGTCTATATAGTGAATTAAGGCCAACTGGGGCTACAAACAGACCTTGTCTCAAAAAGACATAAATGAATAAATGAAAGAAAGAGAGAGAGAGAGAAAGAAAGAGAAAGAAAGAAAGGAAGGAAGGAAAGAAAGAAAAGAAAGAGAGAAAGAGAGAAAGAAAGAAAGAAAGAAAGAAAGAAAGAAAGAAAGAAAGAAAGAAAGAAAGAAAGAAA